TTTTCTAGATCTTTGAGCTTCGAGATTAGGTTGCATCTTTGAGTTCTTTCTTGTTTCTTGATGTGAGCCTCTATTGCTATATATTTTCCTCTTATTACTGCTTTTGCTGCATCCCATACATTTAGGATATTGGTGTCCTTCTTGTCATTCAATTCAAAGAATTTTTTAATTTCTTCTTTGATCTCCTCATTAGTCCAGTGGTCGTCCAGTAGTGTGGTTTTCAATCTCCATGAGGTAGGAGAGTTCCTTGCCTACTTTTTATGGTTTATTTCTAGTTTGATGCCTTCATGGTCAGAAAAGACGGTTGGTATGATTTCAATCTTGGTGTATCTGTTGATGTTTGTCTTGTGTCCCAGTATGTGATTGATCCTGGAGAATGATCCATGTGTGCTTGAGAAAATTGTGTACTCAGATTTTTGGGGGGTTAGTGTTCTATAGAGATCTGTTAAGCCCAAGTGCTCTAGATCCTTATTTAGAGCTTTAGTGTCTTTACTTATTTTTTGTCTCATTGATCTATCCATTGTTGATAGTGGTGTGTTGAAATCTCCCACTACTTATGTTTTTTATCTGATGTCTGTTTTCAGAGATGACAATAGTTGTCTGACATATTTTGGTGCTCCTTCGTTTGGTGAATATGTTTTAATGAGTGTTATTTCTTCTTGAAGTATTGTCCCCTTGATCATAATGTAGTGACCGTTGGGGTCTCTTTTTATCTTTTTGAGTTTGAAATCTGTTTTATCTGATATAAGTATAGTTGTTCCTGCTTTCTTTTTTGGTCCATTTGCTTATAGGATTGTCTTCCATCCTTTAACTTTGAGTCTATTTTTATCTTTTGTAGCTAAATGTGTTTCCTGGAGACAGCAAAAGGTTGGATTTTGTTTCTTAATCCAGCCTGCGACTCTGTCTTTTTATTGAAGAGTTTAGTCCATTTACATTTAGAGTTAATATTGATATGTTATCATCTGTATTTGCCATTGTGTTCGTCTTTCCTTTGATTTTATTTATTTATTCTTTTAATACCTTTTTTTTTGGCCTTCTTTCATTGTTATTCGTCCCTCTGAGGGTCTGGCTTTAGGATTCCTTGTAGTATTTTTTGGAGTGGGGGTTTAGTTGTAATGAAATTCCAGAGTTTCTGTTTGTCTGGAAGTTCCTTAGTCTTTCTTCATAGTGGAAGGAGAGCTTTGTGGAATAGAGAATTCTTGGTTGGCATCTGTTTTCTTGGAGTCTGTTGACTATGTCCCTCCACTCTCTCCTTGCCCGTAGTGTTTCTTCAGAGAAGTCTGATGTCAGTCTGTTTAGTTTTCCTTTGAATGTTATCTGTTTCTTCCCTCTTATCAGCTTCATTATTTTTTCCTTGTCCTGGATTCTTGGGAGCTTTACTATTATGTGTCTTGCTGTATTTTTCCTTTCATCGTGGAAGTTTGGTGTTCTTCTTGCTTCTTGTATATCAATTTTCAGCTCCTCGTTCATGTTTGGGAAGTTCTCTTCAATTATCTCCTTGAATATTTTCTCTGTTCCTACATCTCTCTCCTCTCCTTCTGGTATTCCTATATCTCTTATATTTCCTTTCCTCATGGAGTCAGATAGTTCCCGATGTCTTTCTTCAGTCTTTTCCCTTCGTACTTCTCTTTCATTTTCTGGTTTGGTTCTTTTTATTTCTGTGTCTTCAAGAGTACTTATTCGTTCTTCCATTTCATCTATTCTGCTTTCATTGCTTTTTGCAGAGTTCTTTAGCGCCTCCATTAATCTTTGATCTCCTGCATTTCTTTTACTTCCCTCTTTAGGGACTCAATTTCATTCTTCTGATCGTTGATTATTTTTCCCTTATTCTTGTTTTCCTTTATGACTTTTGTCAGTTTTTTAATCATGGCAATTTTAAATTCTCTTTCTGGAAGGCTCAGAAGTTCTTCCAAGTTACTGTTGTTGCAATCTGGGTTTGGTTTTCTTTTTGTGGTGTGCTTTTTACCTGAGGAGTTGCTGGGTTGCGTGTGGTTTTTCCACTCCCTCTTGTCAGTTTTCTAATTTGCCGTATGCATTGGGACACTGTGTTGCTGGTACTGGCCGGCATCTTAGGCAAACTTCTCTGCTCACCTCTGGCTCCTCAGGGAGCCTTCTGCCGGTTTCGATCATTCTTTACTGAAGAAATGTCCTTGTTCTAAAATGGTGATGTGGGACGCACTCCTTGTGCACCTGGTCTGCCACATACATACATTTTTAGAGGAGGGATTTGAAACTCAAATACAGAACCAGGACTGAAGAACAAAGGCTGTGGCTGCCTGAGCAATTCTGGAGCCACCACCCTGGGTGAGATAGGGATCTTTAACACAGGATGGAATATGAATATCTTCAAGCTCTTTGATATGCAATTGAAAATTAAGAATTTTCCTGTGCCCACTGAGAATTAGGTTCTATTGGGGGAGGAGAGAAGGACCAATATAGAATTTAGGGGCAAAATATACCTGAAGGATCAACTTGTCTCAATATTAATTTCATCATGAGGTAACTGATACCCAAGATAATTAATGGCAGATCCAGGGCTCAAACCCAAGTCACCCAATTCCCAATCCAGTTCTATTTTCACTTTATTAGGCTTCTACAAGGATTAGAAAACTAAAAGGGGTTGCCTGACTTTCAGGGAGAGAAGGAGAAGAATATAGAATTAGGAAAGGTAGGTGATGCAAAGAACAGACCCCACACAGATTGTCTGTTCTGAAAAGTTATGAGATGGAGTGGTACATGAACAGGATAGAAGGAACTCGCACATCCAAATTCTCAAAACGTGACCTCAGATGAACAGCACCAGCATTACCTGATAAATTGCTAAAAATACAGATTCTTGACTGAACCTACTAAATCTTAGTTTAAAGACAACCCACCAATCTACCTTTTAACCAGTCTATCCAGTAATTATGATATAGCCTAAAGTGTGAGAACCAAGAAGAAAAGTCTATAAAACTCCTTTGGACACAAGAATCTTCTGAATAGGAAAAAACTTCCTTTACCAGGGACGTCTTTGTTCTATCTGATCTAACTAAGAAAATTGATCTGATTGCTTTTATAAATTAGACACAAACTCTTACTAAGGCAAAAAATTTATTTTCGATCTTTAGTATTACTCGTATAGAATTATTTTTCATGAAGTCATTTAGTGCTACTTATTTATTTAGGGATTTCCCTCCTGTGGTTTTCATTCATCTGTGTTGTTCAGAACGGCAACATATGGTATGCAAAAGTTATTTGGATTCACTGTATCAGAGGAAAGGAAAGAGCATTGTGCTGTGTGTCACACAGACCTGGGTTTGACTCCCTGCTCTGCTGTGGGAAGAGACTGTGAGCTGGAGCATATAGTTTGTCCTCTAGTCTCGATTTTTGTCTCCAGAACACACGAATATAAATCCCTTCCCCGTGAGGCTCTTTTGTAATGAAATAATTTATATAGTATCAATGATGTTTATTTATTTCCCCCTCCTCTTAATTTTCTCTTCTACTAATTTTACCTTTACCATATGCTGTGTTGTATTAAGAGGCTTTCCACTGTCTTATAAACTCACTGAGGACAGAGAAGGTATCTGATACTTACAATCAGCCTGCTCTTTACATAATGCCCTGAACATCAGAATGCAGTGGACTATCAATTATTGAGAAGTATCTAGCCTGCAATGGCATGAAAAAGAGATGACACTAACATTTGCCCATAAGCTACTTACTGTCACCCCTGCTATGAAGGCTCGTGCTGTCTTTGATCCCTACTCTCTACCTTTCAAGCACAGATAGCAGTCAGACTTCAGCCACATCATAAGGTATTCTTCTAAACACAAACTAGAACTTATTCTGATGCTCTCATTACACTATACAGTGATTCTCAAAGTGAAATCTCTGGAGAAACAGCACAGCCTTACTCAAGAACCAGTTGGAAATACACATTTTAAGACTCTACCCCAACATACTAAGTCAGAAACTATAGTTTCACAAGCCCTACAAATGATTCTGATGAACAAAGACTATTGACCTAAAACAATGCACTTATTTTTCCTTCCTAGTCACTAGCCATCACAACAAACATCAATGATATTCTATAGAGAATATCTGATCAGGAGTAGGTAACAGGATATCAATGCTATATTGTATCAACCAAGAATAAATACAGAATGAAAGTACAATATGGAATTTCTCAGTGTCTAATGGATCATAATTCAAACACTCTTAATAAGTACAGTGTGTTAAAGATAAAAGGTATTAGTTAGACAAAAAAGTTTAGGATAACTAGGTTAGACAGGATTTCTCCCCTGAGAAATTATCAATTTTTAATGTTTAAAAACATTCTAAACCTCCCAAATCTCTTCAAACTTATTTAAAATGAACTTTTTCTTCAAATAATAATGTATTTTTGCTGATACAAATACCTCTCTTAGGGCTGAATTTCCCACATCTGAATATTGTTATAATACAACTTGTTATTAAAAGTTTTTGATCTTAAGCTATTTTTCACTTGGAGCCTTTCAAAAATATTAGTATAGTGGTTCTCAATGGGTGAGTTTTGCCTAAAGAGGATAATTGCCAAAGCCTAGAGACAATTTTCTTTGTCACAGCTTGGCTAGGGTTGGTTAGATAATTGCTACTAATATCTAGTGAGTAGAGGCTAGAGATGGTACTAAACATCCTACATTATAAGAACAGCTGTCTGCCGTGCAGAACTATACAACCCAAAATTTTAATAGTGTTGAGGTTAAGAAACCCTGTATTCTCCATCAAGTATTAGAGAACTCCTTCTGGCTACTCACATATTGAGCTACAATACAGGATTTATTTCATCTTCATAATTTCAGTATGTACTACACTGTCTGACACAAAAGGCATTTAGTAAGAGCTTGTTGAATGAATGAATTAATAAAAGAATGAATTGTTGGGGAAATGTGATTATCATGAATGAAATAACAGCAACCCTTGCAAGACAATCTAAGCCCATGTTATTTAACTCTGCCTGTTATTATTTAACATAGTGAAATCCATGTCCAGAAGACTTTGAGGGGACTATGAGGTGGAGATGTGGTTGCAAATGTTGTTAAATGATCAGAACACATGTGGGAGAGCAGAGAGCTGTCCAGCCAAGGAGGACATGAGACATGCATGGAAAGCAGGGGTAAGTCTGGTGTATAGTTCAAGGCCTCAAAACTGTCCTCATGTAATCCTGTCTGCAATGTCTTCTCACCTCCATTGACCCCTCCCATGCCCTATCACAGAGAGGTAACGAGTGGCAAAGATTGCTAACTGGCCACCTACAAGTCAGAGGGATTTGTTTATCATTCTTGGATGTTGTTTTTCTGTTTGATTATTTTTAAGAGGTTTGTTTTCCTTTGAACCTTTTTTAATTATCTAAAAATCATATATATCAGTGAATTTTTTTAAAGATTTATTTATTTATTTATGCACAGAAGAACTAGGGTGTAGGCCAGAGGTGTGGTGGGTGGGGGGGGTGAGAGGATTCACCAGAGACAAAGTGGGGAGCAGAACAGGTGGATCTACTAAAATACACTGCTGAGGGGAGTAGCGGGTGAGACAGGAGAGGTCTGCTGCACCACTGGGTTAGCTCCCTGGCTGGGGATTAACTCAGGCTGTAGTGGTGACAGTGCTGAAACTTAACCCCTAGGCCACCAGGGATGTCCTATGTCAGTGAATTTTCAACAGACAATTTACATAAAACTCAAAGATACACTTTACCTCTACCCAACCCAGTCCCCAGTGTTTAACACCATGCTTATTTGCTTGTTGAATTGAATGCATTTAAGGGCACACTCCCCTGTTCACCACAGTCTCTACCTACTGTTTCATCCTCAATCCACTGTAATCTGTGTGTCACTTACCCAGGCCCTGAGGGGTATGAGAGAAAAAGCTCTGTTCTTATAATGACAAGGACTAAACAAACCTCAGTTGACCACTGAGCTCATTTTACTTTGCCTATGTCTAGGACCTGTCCTCTCTACATGACAAGAAGTAAGAGCATATATATAATGTCCTCAAAAAGTAAAACCACACCCATGCCTATGATTTATCTATGAAAAGCAAACAAACTTTGAATGCCATGTTGTGATAAATTCCACTCCAAGCAATAACATGTGAAGCACTTAAGCATCAAGAAGACTAAAGTGGTTCACAATTTTGCATTATTTTTTTATGCTTTAAATAATAACAGTAATAAATCCCTGTTTACTTTTATATAGAAATATTTTGAGTTAGCTTTCTATTAGGTGCAATTGCTACCACGGAAGGCAAGTCACATTTGTCCCATGGCTTCAGATACTTCCTGACATCCTACAAAATTTTAAATGTAAGATGTCATCAAGGGTTTTTTAAGACCCAGCCGAAGAACTCCTTCATAGAACCTATCCCACCACCCCAAGCTTAACTCCTCTGAATTCCAGTAGTGGTTATTTCTCTCTCATTTTTTTTTTTTTATTATGTACACAAATAGCCTTGTGTTGTTTCTATTATTGTCACACTGTTATTTACATACTTGTGGAATTGAGATTTTAGTCTTTGATTGGTCATGTTTTCATCTCATCTTTCCTAAATTGATTTATGGGCTTACTATGTCAAAGGCCATGTTCTCTGCCACACTTTGAAACATGCAACAAATATAGTAGGTGCCCAATAATTAGGTCTGACTTCTTTTGAAAAGTGTGTTAAATCCTGGAAGTACCATATAAATGGGTCTTATAAAACCCTCATCAGCAACTTTGTCTCTTCTGGTATTAACTAGAGACTAGCTTTGAAGTGAGGTTATGATATGTTTCTTTCTTACTTCTTCCCCGGAATGAAAGCCCTCATTTTCTATCATGGAAAAAGATCATTTGAATCTCTCTAGTGCAAAACGCAAGTATATGCTGTTGGTTGTAATGAAGGTCATCTGCTAAAATCTAAAGGTATATTTTGGCAATAATTTTTTAAGTAGCATATTTCTAATCTTCAAAGTGATAGTTCTGTGTTTAAAATTAATTTTCTCATTTGTCTATGGTTGCAACTTACAACACTTCCTTATATGCACTATAAAATGTTAATAGCTACATGTAGAGTGACTTTACGATTGTAGTGTCGTTTTTCTCAGCTTGATCAGCTTTTTTGAATGGCATCATTATGATCAAAGTTGTTTACAGTAATAAAGTAGGAATAGTTTCGATAAAAAAAGTAGGCACCATTACAATTAAACAGTATCTGGTGTTTTAGGATATGATAACTACTTATAATGCGTTCATGGGATAAACTAGTCTACAATAGAAATATAATCACAAGAATGACCTAAACAAGTCTTTGAATCACAAAATAGGAATATGAATTGGCGGGAGCAGTGATGCCAACAGATTCAGGGGTAAACAACATTCAACACACCTGGTTTCTTTCAAAGAAGTTGCAAGTAGTTAATCAGCATTTTATTTACACTGATACCCTTCATCTAGTTCAATACCTGAAAGGAAGAAGCAAATTTAAAATTAGGGCAACATGCCAAATATCTCAATAAAATGTGTGTCTTAATACTCTGTTTGATAAGATATATTGCAAAATTAGCATATTCATATTTGTATGGTATTTATCCAGTTACATTGTTACGCTACCGGAAAACATAATAATTAGGACATATAAAATAACCAAGTCTTTATACCATGTGCTAACAGATTTCTAAACTCAATAAGATTTGCTTGATCCAAACTCTGATTTTCAGGTTTCTGTTCCTTTTCTTTTTTTGAAAATTGACTTATCTTTTGTTCATATATATGCTCATCATCAATGCCATCAGAGGTGGCAGATAAGACAAATTTGATAAATTACTGGTCACTCAGTGTTGCTAAAGATTTGAGCTTCTAAAATAATGTTTGAAGAGATCAGAAATGGTACTTTTCTTTGAAGGATTAAAAGGGCATCTAATTTCAGCAATTTTACAGGATAGTCATCTTCATAATGTTAAAAGTAATGCTTGGAGGGCTATCACACCCAGCTGCATATGATGAATTATGTTGACTTTTTGAAGATGGGAGATAAGTTCTTAAATTTTTGAATTGATTTTTAATATGCAGAGTAATGAGGAATTTATGAACTTATGTACATATAAAAGGGTTGCTTAAAAACTTACTTAAACTCATGGTATGTGTAACAATAACACTGAAATACAATTCAAGATATGTTATCTCTACTGATTCATTGTTTTTTGCAATTACCAAAAGTGCTGCCCATGGCAGAATATTTTAATTTGCCATATGAACAAAGTGAAGACATCCTGGGCCTTGATTTTGGGATTGACACAATATGACCTTGACATACTTGAGCCAATTTATGGCCACCCAGCACTGTTGGTAAAGTTCCAGCCAATTTGTAGCTCCTTGGAAAATTGCTGTAGTTTTCTTTCTTCATGGAATCCCCAAAACAAACAGACAACATCCACCACCCTACCCCAACTTTCTTTATTATCTGAACTGAAATTTTCTGAAGCTATTCAATTTCCCCACATTTTTGCAGTCAGCCTTGTCACAGCCTTTTCTTTATTTCTTTCTTTTTTTTTTTTTGCTCAAAACTTGTGCTGTCTATACAGTCATTCAGCACTTACCCAAAGCTACTTTAGACTTCTGGCTAGCTACTTCTGACTGCCTTTCAAACAATGTATCCAGAAAAATATTTAGTAGGAAGTTTTAATATTCATGAAATATTCTGATGGAAATGATAAAGCAATAACCTATGTTCTCAGTCTGTAACCTGGGAAAGAGTTTCTTATAAATCTGACTTTCTCCTTTTCTTTAGAATTCAAAGTGTTCTTTCCTATACTCTGCTAGTTAAAATTATAACAAAAAAATTTTAAAACATTCTTCCACTGAGATATCAGTGTCAGCTAAAATACCTAAAATTAATTTTAATTTGTCATTACAAAAATACAAGAGTCAACTAAAACATGTCCTATCTGCAATAGTAGCAATATTCCAAAAAATATTTTATCCTTTATTACAATTTTGATTTCTACCCATTTAAGGACAATTTTGAATCTATAGACTAAGCCAGTGATTTCTAAAGAGGGAAAATAGTATAACAACACTTTACCTACTATATGCTTTATAGTATAATTAGAAACTGCTAATTAGCAGTTATTAGTTTAAGAGATCAGCAAATCCATTAATTTGAGAACAAACATATAAACCAAGCAATGGCTGACCAATACAGGGATCATCTTTGGACACAGTATGGCATATATTTTGTTAGTCACTTTTACATTTTTACAATAACATGGAAGGTGAGGAAAGTGAGGACTTTGTTTTCAGAAACATTAATATTTTAGTTTTACTTATTTTGACAAACAAAAATTATGTATATTTAAGCTATACAATGTGATGCTTTGATATATGTAACAGTGTGAGATGATTACCACAATCAAACTAATTAACATGTTCATTACCTCCATAGTTGGCGTCTTTTTTAAAGTGAGAATACTTGATTTTACATGGTTAGTAAATTTCAATATACAACATAGTATTATCAGCAATAGTCACCATGTTGTACATTAGATCTCCAGAATTTACTCATACTGTAACTGAAAATAAATTTACTCCTCCTATAATTTAAAGCCATTTTATCCCCCCCCCTTTTTTCTTCACCTTTATGCCTCTGGGAAAGATCATTCTATTCTCTGTTATTGTGAGTTTAATTTTTTTTTTTTAGATTCACACATAAATGAGATGAGGAGATATTTTGTCTTTCTATGTTTGGTTTATTTCACTTAGTTTAATGTTCTCGAGTTTCATCCATGTTGTCTCAAGAGGCAGGATTTCCTTCTTTTTGGGGGGTGAATAATATTTCATTGTTTATATATACCACATTTTCTTTATCCATTCATCTGTTGACAGATGCTTAGGTTGTTTATATATCTTAGCTACTGTGAATAATATTGCAGTGAACATAGGAATTCAGCTATCACTTCAAAGTAGTAATCTTATTTTCTTTAGATATATATACACAAAAGTGGAATTGCTGGATCACGTAGTAGTCTTTTGAGACATCTTCATTATGTTTTCCATATGATTATACCAATTTACATTGCCACCATCCCCTTTCTCCACATCCTCACTAATGCTCATTATCTTTTGACTTTTTGAATAATACACATAC